CCGACGGTAAGACCCCCGTCGGATCTAGGGTTAGTAATTTTTTTTCCAGTCCATCACATACACCTTAAACACATAAAAATTTTGTTTCTTTTGCAAATTCTAGTTTTTAACTTCATAATCATAACAAGTTATCATCCTCACGCATTCTATTTTGATTCAAATTACTAAAACTTACTATAAAATACAATGTGTATTACAAAGTGTTCTCACAAATTAAGCACAAATACAATGTTTTGTTCTCTACAATGGATGAGAACTTAATTTAGCTCACACTCAAGAACCACTCACCACAACCCAAATTATACTTAATGTGAAATACTAAAAACTCAAAGGTTGTGTGTGTTCAATGAGTGAAAAACAAACTAAACTCAATATGAAAATCTGACTTATAGATATGATAAACAATAAACAAAATAAATACAAAGCTAGAATTGAGTTTAGAAAAACTTCTCTAGATAAACAATAAACAAAATAAATACAAAGCTAGAATTGAGTTTAGAAAAACTTCTCTAGAACAAGAGAGATGGAGATGTGAGCTAGAATTGAGTTTAGAAAAACTTCTCTAGAACAAGAGAGATGGAGATGTGAAATTGAAAGCTCAAATCAAAGTTGATCTCCTCTTCTTGTGAAAAAATCTTCACAAACCAAACTTCTAAACAAACACTTAAACAATCTTAAAACACCCTTTTAAACTTGTTTAAAACTCTCTTGATTACACATAGGTTAGAAGGTATGATGTATATATATATGATCATAGAACAAGCCCCAAAACTAAGAGAAAACCAAGGAAAAAGATAAAAAAACGAAAACCTAAAAATCTGGAAAAACTAACCGTTAGAGGCCGTCAGTCGACTGATGAACAATATCAGTCGACCGATGAGCTGACAGCTCACAGCTCATCGGTCGACTGAAGACCTCATCAGTTGACTGGTAAACTCATTAGTCGACTAATAGTTTATCAGTCGTAAAAATAGAAACTTTTGGAGTTTTCAGACGAGTTTATCAGTCGACTGATAAGATCCATCAGTTGACTGATAACAAGTTATCAGCCAGAAACAAACAGTAAATCTGATTTTCAAACATCTTTTAAAAATAGCAAATAAATTTTAAAAAATATAAAACTTTGGGGAATGCTTGTAAACATGATAGTGAACCTGTTACAAAAAGAATATTTGGAATTGCACTTCCCAATAGTGAAAACTCATGATTTTTCAAAACTAGTCCAAAACATGAGAATTAAATATACATGTTTTTGACAAAATGTTTTAAACAAACTTTTAAAACTTTGTAAAGTGGTTCTATAGACTTGATAAAAGATATAAACTATAGTTGTTAAGTCTATAAACCAAAAGCACAATATTTTTTAAAATACAATAGAATATGAAACATATAAATATGAATATGAATGTATATTTGTTTCATATCTATATAACTAAACTAAAATAACTTATCCACATGAAAACAAACATATATGTATATAAACATAAATTTATTTGTTTGTAAAAACTTTGTTTGTGGATAAAACCTAAAACGGATAAACTCATAAAATATGTGTGTGTATATGATATTGAACTTTAAAGTATCTACACACAAGTATAAAGCCTAAACTAATTATACCCAAGCAATTGGTCTTCAACTATGTTACCCGGGTACTTCAATAATGAAGCCGTACCCGTACCGGGCACGTACCCGATACTTTCCCGTACCCAAACTTCATGGACACTTCTTGAATATATGCATGCATTTATTAAACATGTACTCAATTATACGATATATGTGTTAATTTAAAACACTTGTCAAATACTTCCTGGACGTAGAACTTACACTTCACATCCGTCTTTTGAAACTAATGAAATACGGGTCGGATTCATTTCAGTCCATACCCAAGTTTAAAACTATATAGTTAATGGATCGTTTAGATGTCTAGTAAAAAAATGAGTTGTTTACAATTCACGATAATCAATATGATAAAAGAAACTCAAAAATATGTCGGAATTTTAATTCTAATGTGAAGGGGAAAAAATTTATCATATGTACAGTATTAATACAATATATATATGTAGTCGTGTCTCCGTACCTTACATTTTACAGTTTTGCCGTGTCCCGAACCCGCACCCGCACCCGTACCAGTACCCGTGCCCGTTTCCATGCAAATTAGGTCTTCAATAAGCTATTCTTAGTAAACTTTGTGGATGAAACTTGATCTTGAATTTGTCTTGATGTGCAATGGCTTCATACCGATATTTCGCCAACCTCCATTTGATGTGATCGTTTAGGCTCAATCCATACAACCTCCGACACATTGTTTGTCTAGAATACCTAATAATAAAACACAAACACTAGACAAACAATATTAAGAATTATTTATAATCATCAAAACAAAATTAGGGAGTAGGCTCATAAACATGGGGCCAACAAAACATATATTATATGTAATTTAATTCATAATCTAGAGCCAACTAAATTCAAATATAATCAATAATAATTAAAATCTATGGTACAAATGAGCTTATTGCTAACTTTAGCAATTTATCAAAATTTTATAACTCTCATATACTAGCTTCTGGAGTTCCTAATAATTTATGATAAGGCAGGAGTTATATGAATTTATCAAGCCCAAAAGTTGACTTTTATTCTTCAGTTTGGACTTGTTTGCAAACAGAGTAAATGACATGGTTTATACGTAATTATCCTATTCATATATGATCCTAGATTTCTCTGTTGGGTTTATTTACAAATCTTTGTGGCTTTTAGGCACTTAGAATGAATTCTTAGGTCACAGATCTCTATCCTCCATTCAAGAAGGTTTATAAGCAAAGTTAAAATAACTTAGGGGGTTTTGATAAATTTTCCTCCCTTTATTTATTTATTTATTTTTTTTCTACACCATATCATCTTCCTTCTTCCTTTCTTTTATCTTTTTTTTCTTCTGTTCCTCCTCTCTCTCTCTCTCTCTCTCTCTCTCTCTCTCTCTTCTCCCCCCCCTCTCTCTCTCTCTCTCTCTCTCTCTCTCTCTCTCTCTCTCTCTCTCTCTCTCTCTCTTTCGGCTAGACAGTCTAAGGCCTCTCTTTCTTTCTCTCTCTCTCGCCATGGAGGTAGGAGGGCGACAGGGGATCACCGACAACTAGGAGCGACCGGCGGCAAGACCCTCGCCAGATCTAGGGTTAGTAATTTTCTTTTTCAGTCCATCACATACATCTTAAACACATAAAAATTTTGTTTGTTTTGCAAATCCTAGTTTTTAACTTCATAATCATAACAAGTTATCATCCTCACTCATTCTATTTTGATTCAAGTTACTAAAACTTACTATGAAATTTAAAAGTGGGTTATACCTCAATTGATTGGGATATTGATTTGTTGCCTTGGTCTTCTTTTCTCCCTTCACAAGCTTTTTATTGATTCCAGAGGGTTTTGTTGAGGATGAGAGGATATTCTTCGTTTTTTTTTCTTTGTCTTTGTGGGTTTTCTTTGATTTTTCTCTGTTTTATCATCCCTCTGTTGAGGAGGTTTCGCTCCAAGCATCAAATGACTTTTAGCCATTAAAACCCTAACGTGGCTGCTAAACAAGAGCTGGGGGTGAAATTCCAAAGAAACCCCTAATTAGTTTTCCTTAATCTGTATTTAAAAAAAAATCTCCATTAATCCAAATTTAAAGCACTAATTACATAGGTTACTACACTAATGATTCTGTGAAGTAAGTAGGTAATCTTTTTGGCAACTCTATCATTAGCTCTATCATCCTTGTGATCCATCTAAGTTCTAAATTCTATTCTTATGCTTTAATGATTGTTATATCTTTATGAGATGGATTTGGTCTTGTAACTATTTCCTTAGTCATAATTATCTTTTATGTAACGGACAAGAATGATTTATCTTCAGCAGAAAGTGGAAATGGGGGTAGTTAATGTGTGTGTGTGTGTGTTATATCAATTAGGATTAATCTTTAGTCACCTCTAAACTTTTTATTAGCATTTAGATCACCAAAAGTTTGAATGGAATTCTCTCTCCATTATTTGTGCCGAAAAGATCACATATGCTTTTGTATGCGTTGGATATGCACCCTTTATAATACAGATACAAATAACATAAAGATAACCCCCTTTGCACATTGGATGGTCTAAGCGCCGATAAATGAGCTTAGGGATGATAAGTAGCTAACCCTCTATACCACAGGTGTGTATTTGATATTAATCCTATTGATTGTACCAGGAATGAACTACAGTGATCTACATGTTATTGGGTGGTATCTTCAATGCAGATCCAAGTTCTTGTGGTCATATATGCTTAAAAGGGTCTTCTGTGTATATACCGCTTAAATCATGTGTATTTGCAAACTAAGCTCCAAGCCTCAGTATTTGCAGAATTACCCAAAATTATCAACTTCGCAAGCAAGCAAAAAAAAAAAAAAAAAAAAAAAAAAAAAAAAACAAAAAAAAAAAAAAAAAAAAAAAAAAAAAATCAACAAATCATCTCCTATGTTGGATATGGTTGAGTAAAAAATTGGCTATTTTGTTGATATTTTTACGTTGTGTCTACAAATTAGCCTATCGAAGTTGTTGATTTGTTGATTTGGAAGGATATCCTTTTCCCAATTTGATGATTCGGGAGTAGTTTACAAATATTGAAATTGGGGGTTAACTTTGCAAATATGCATGACGAAAGCAGTATGTATTTACAGAAAGACCCTACTTAAAAATCGTAAGATTTGTCTGATACACCATTCTACCTTACCGTTACACGAAGAAATATCATAAGAAAACTAATTCCTGAAAATGCCCTAGGTGGAGATCGAGTGTCAATGTGAGCGCGTGGACCCTGCATCATCATTGCTCAGCTTGGCCGATATCTGGCTGCGAAATAAACAAATTCAAAGAACGCAGGTATCACTCGGCGCCTCAGCCAAGGATTTCGTTTTGGTGTTGAACTACAATTGCAAGACTCCAACCACTTGAGAATGGGTCTCCAATTTTACATGGCTTTTATAAAGTCTTCCTTTAATTTGATCATTAAAATCTTGTTGAGAAACTTGATATATGCTTCTGAGAGAACATTTGTCTTCATACTCATTCAGATTTGTACGGAGTAATCTGTGCAATTGAGAAGGATATGATAATGGTTGGGAGCAATTAAGAAGGATATGATTATAGTTTACTTAACGGAGGAGGTGATCTATAATAGAATAAAATGAAAGAATAAAATTTATGTATATGATCACATATATTTGGGATAAAGGCTTTATTGCTGTTGTTGTACTGAATAATTCTGCACAGTGATTTGTCAACAGGTGAGATTGATGTATTTTTGTTCATATTTGTGAAGAATAATTTACATTTGTTCTTATGCTTAAAAGTGGCTATACTATTGTCACTGTGATAAGGGTTTAGTTATTGTTCCATGCTTTGTGTTATCCTAAGAAGAAACATATATACCCTTTAAATTATTGGTATTTGCAAAAATACCCTCTAAAAGTTAGTATTTGCAAAGCTACCCTCAAATCATTGACTTTGTGAAACCCTAAAATTAACAAATCATCTACTTGGTGCTAAACATTTTGCTATTTTGTTGATAATACTTACACTGCGATGATTATTTTTACATTGTGATTACAAAGTACGTTATCATAGTTGATGAGTAAATGCTTTGATGGTAAATTTGTCCTAAATTGATGATTTGAGAGGTAGGTTTGCAATTATTGAGATTTGGAGGGTATTGTTGCAAATACCTATGATTTAAGGGGAATATATATGAATAACCTTTTTTTCCTTCAGATTATGGGTGTTAATATCAGCTAGTAATATGAGTATCAATACAAACAAACATAAATTACTACCGATTTATGGGAACAGTAATAGGTGATTTTTATCTTGTACTGAAAAATATTCACTTGCATTTGTTTAAAAAATAAGATAAAAACTCAAATGTATACATGTAAACATTTATTAAATTCATTAATCAAATTTAGTTTCGTGGATCAATATTAATCATCAAATTATTAGTGTTGTCAACATTTATTAATTTTTTTTGATTATTTTAACAGTATTTAAATTTGTTATTGAATATTTTATTTCTTTAAAATTATGATGTATACTTTGTTGTTCACGAAAAACAGTTTTGAACTCATAAATTTCTCGAAAATAGCACAGAACATTGATTTTAAAATACAAAGAAGACTTAAAAAATCATCATATGTGCAAAGACATAAATTATGAGAGGTTTTGATAAAGAAAGGAATCAAATTGGTAAACACTCATACTGGATCAGGTCCGAACCAAACCCGAACCCGTTATCTCTCTGACGCGCCAAGATGAAATTTTGGGGGGAAGATGAATCCAAAAACACAAAATCCTATAAAAACCAAACAAGAACCCTTTCATCTTCTCCTCTCTCTCTCTCTCTCTCTCAACGATCAAAAGAGCGAGCTTTTCTCTCTTAACCAAGGAATTTTGAGGCAAAACCTCGCCTTTGATCAAATTCATCAGGTACTCTCCCTCCTCGATCCTTGAAATGTTAGGATCCAAGCATTTAGCTGCATTTTTTAGTTAGAGGGAAAGTGGGATTCAGTAGGGTTTAAAAATAGAGATTAGGAATTTTGATTCAAAACCCATTCTTTTGTTCTGATTTATTGTTAAACCCACACATTCGAAATCATTCGTACTCCTAAAATCTGTGTTAATATAAAGTATGAAAATTGCTGTGATTCGACCTAAGCACTATAAAAAAACCCTAGAAGTTGTTGTAACTGGTCATGCTATTATGCGAACCCGACCCGTTAACAGCGCTACTATCTTCGAAAGAAATTTGACTCCCGCCAAATGAAAGCAGTGCTTTGACTAAACCCGATATTTTTTCAGCCCGAAACGACACGAAAAATTGCTCCTTTTTCACCATTTGTCATTTTTAGTTCAACCACGTCCACCATTATGCTCTCTAGAAAAACCCCACTATCTCTCTAAGACCTTCTGAATTTATTGATAAAAAAGAAAAACAAAGTAAATAGACGTAATTTGATTTCTCAATTTATTTGCCCATTTTGTTTTCTTGCCTCAGTCTCTTCAAGATCTACTACAGGCCTAACATTTTGCATGTAAAAACAGACAGCTCTTTAGTGAATTTAATTAGGTAGAAATGGATGAAAGAAGAAGCCATATCATGGGTTTTTTCTGTCACTGTTTAATTAGCCGTGTTACAGATTGTTTGTCATTTGTTGATGAGGAGTTCAATGTTATTTCTGCATGTAGTTGTTTAATTACAGCATGTGGTTTAATGTTTCTCAGTTCTTTATAGACCTTTATTGCTGATCAACTATTTACTTGATTAATGTTATGCTCAGTGACATTTTACCCTGAGGTTTGGTTTTCATAATGGTTTATGCTTGTTTGAGTAATTCACCCCATTTTATTTAAAGCGCACCCTACGAATACTGTCATTATTTTTCTGTTAGATCCTATTGTTCGGCCCATTTATAAGTGTTCTGCCATGTAAACATATAGTTATTCAATTGGTTCCCTCTTACAGCAAAATGAATGTGTTTCAACTAATGTTCATATCCTTCGAGATGTTAACTTTTCATTTATCAGCACTGATATCAATCTTTTGATTTTAGTGGCTCTCTTTCTTACATGCATTTAAGTGCTTATCTGAAATTCGATCTCAATAAAGAATAATTATGGAGTGAATCAGAACACTCCATAAATCCCTAGTTTTTAAGAACATTTTTTAAAAATATTTGTGGCGTAATCTATGAGAGCGAGTATTTGCCATTTGCTGCAGTATACTATTTATGTTACATTTCCATTTATTTCTTGACGTATTGAATAGTTTATTGCTACGCTGAAGATCAACTGACACCTGTGATTTCTTGAATTGTTCAGTAGACAGGAGACTATGGCACGAAATCCTGCAAGATGTACAGGTGTATTCTACTTACCTTTTTGACTAATTTTCATGTTTGGCTACTCTTTTAGACATTCATTTATTGAGTTATCTGCACAATAGGATTCATTGAAACTTCTTGTTTCAAACTTTGGGTTCTTTTTATCGAGTTATCCTAAATTTCAGTATTCCCCTTTTGACTTTGAAGTTAAAGAGACACTTTGCATGACCTTTGACAAAATGGATACTTTGTAATTTATATATTAATAGAACCTTCATGGAGAATTCTTCTTCCTTAAAAGAAAATCAGAATTCTATATCCTCATCATGGAAGGTGAAACAATCCCCCAGTGTATTGTCCATAGAGGCACTGGATGGAGAAGTTTGTATTTTATAATACTGGTTCCACGTTTCTCCCTAACCTTTCTTTTTTGCAGTATCTTAGAATCTGATTCTCATTTTATGTATCAAATCCTGTGCGTTTTTTTTATTGGACTTGCTCTTATTGCATAGTTTTTGGTGTTTATTGTAGATTTGACATAGTTGAGTACTTGCGATACTAATCTATTATTAACTTTAGGTATGAAAAGAAAAGATTCTGGTGGATCTTCGAAGGCGAAAAGCACATCTATCCACAATCCTGCAAAAATGGAAGATAGTGTGGTATCAAATGCGGCTGCAGAGGAGCAAAACAGCATTGACAATGGTTATGAACCTCAGGTCTATAAGAGGCCAAAGAGGGCTGCTGCGTGTTTAAATTTCAAGGAGAAATCCATCAAACTATCTGATGTTTCGTCAACTATTGAAACAAAGAAAAACCGTATCGTGGAAGATGAGATAGTTGCTGTGGATCTTACAAAACTTGGTCCAGAAGATCTTCCACCGTGTAGGAAGCTTCTTGATTTTGTTTTGCATGATGCTGATGGAAATCCACAACCTTTTGAAATGTCTGAATTTGATGACCTATTCATCACTGCTCTTATGATGCCATTGGATGATAATTTGGAGAAAGAGAAAGAAAGAGGTGTTAAATGTGAAGGTTTTGGGCGGATTGAGACTTGGGCAATTTCTGGTTATGATGAGGGGGTTCCAGTAATTTGGTTGTCAACGGCGTCTGCAGATTATGAATGTGTGAAACCAGCTAGCAATTACAGAAAATTCTATGATCGTTTCTATGGTAAGGTGCATATTTGTATTGAAGTTTACAGAAAATTAGCCAAACCTGCTGGTGGAAATCCAAACTTGACTCTTGACGAATTAATTGCTGGTGTCATCCGATCTATGAGTGGAAACAAGAACTTTTCTTGTGGCGTAATCAGTAGGGATTTTGTGATCTCAATTGGTGAATTTGTATACAACCAGTTGATCGGATTGGATGAGAACCAAAAGAAAAACGATGTCAACCTAGCCACAGTACCAGCTCTTCTTGCTCTAAGAGACGAGTGTAGAAGTAGATCAGAATATGGCATGGTGCCAGTACAGGTTTCAAATGGGAGCTTGAAGATCAAAGGAGAGAACTTCGAAGCTGATGAAGATGATGATGCAAAATTAGCACGGCTGTTGCAGCAGGAGGAAGATTGGAATATGATGAAGCAGCAGAAAGGGCGTCATTCAGTATCTTCAAAAAAGAGTACCTACATCAAAATCAATGAATCTGAAATTGCCAATGACTATCCTTTGCCTGCATATTACAAGCCCTCAGTTGAAGAAATGGATGAGTACATATTTTTTGAAAATGAGGATTGCATGTCCTACCGTGACCTTCCAACAAGAGTTCTTACTAATTGGGCACTTTACAATTCTGACTCGCGGCTTATTTCTTTGGAGCTACTCCCAATGAAGGCCTGTGCAGATGTTGATGTTATTGCTTTTGGATCAGGAAACATGAGGGATGACGATGGCTGTGGATTCTGTTCAGAGGGTGATCTTGTTGGCCAGTCTTCAGGTACATCTAATTCGATGGATGTTGAAGGCATTCCAATTTATCTGAGTGCAATCAAGGAGTGGGTGATTGAGTTTGGTGGATCCATGATCATCGTTTCTATCCGAACAGATGTAGCATGCCCCCTCCCCCCCCTCTCTCTCTCTCTCATGCACACACTCATAGAGACACCAAGCAGTACTCCACCAAATAGCAATACCACACACTTAATGCACATACAGACTGACACACACCAATAAAATTAAAAACAGGACGAACTGTGCAAAAAAATCTCAAAAAAAAAAAAAAACCGAAAAGCATAATTTCACATTGTACAAGGATGTCAAGTTTGCATTCACAATTGATATGAATAGTCTACGTGTTAACCTTGTAATATATATTTCCACTATCATAATCAAATGGTTCGGTTAATCATGTCTTATCCTTCTACAATCTCCACTAATGATAGCATTATTCATTAAAAAAGTCAAATTCGTTTATTAATAGTTTTTCTATTCAGCATTTGCTTGTAAGGGTTCCATTACATGTGTTGTTTGATTACAGGTACAGACTAGGTAAACCGACAAAGCAATATGCTCCGTGGTATGAACCAGTCCTCAAAACTGCAAGGGTTGCAGTTAGCATCATTACCTTATTGAAAGAACAGAGCAGAGTTTCAAGGCTTTCATTTAGTGATGTGATTAAGAAGATTTCAGAGTTTAGAAGGGACCATCCTGCTTATATTTCTTCAAATTTGCCAGTAGTAGAGAGATATGTTGTGGTACATGGGCAAATTATTCTTCAACAGTTTGCCGATTATCCTGACCCCACAATTCAGAAGTGCTCATTTGTGGCTGGCCTTTCTGAAAAGATGGAGCAGAAACATCACACAAAACTTCTTTTGAAGAAAAAGATGGTAGTGCAGAAGGAAGCCAACTTAAATCCAAGTGCTTCAATGTGTCCAATATCCAAAAAGAAACTGATGCGGGCTACTACTACAAAGCTTGTCAATAAAATCTGGGCCGATTACTATTCAAAATTCTTTCCTGACGATTCTAAGGATGAAGGCCAGGAAGTAAAAGAAGAAATTGAAGATGAGCAGGAAGAGAATGAACAGGAGGAAGTTGAAGAAGAGAATTTATTATTGCAAGAGAATGATTCTTCCAAGTCTTCCTCATCCACAAGGTCTTCTAAACCTAAGACTTCTAAGAAGGAGACAAAATGGGAAGGTGAAGCAACGGGTAGAACAGATTTGGGAGAAAATCTTTATAGATCTGCAATAGTTCATGGAGAACTGATTTCTGTGGGCATGGCAGTCATGATCGAAGCTCATGAATCCGAAGAAGTGCCAGCAATATACTTTGTTGAGTTCATGTTCGAAAAACCAGATGGTGTAAAAGTAGTCCATGGAAGGTTTATGCTGAGAGGGTCAGAGACTGTTTTAGGAAATGCTGCGAAAGAAAGGGAGTTGTTCTTGACTAATGACTGTATGGAATTTGAACTAGAGGATGTTAAAGAATCTGTAGCTCTTAAGATATGTAAGTTACCATGGGGGCATAAATACAGAAAGGAGCATGCTGATGCTGATAATATTGATAGAGCAAAGGCGGAAGAGATGAAAAAGAAAGGATTGCCTACAGAATATTACTGCAAAAGTTTATACTGGGCTGAGAAAGGTGCCTTCTTCAGTGCCCCTTTTGATCATTTGGGCCTTGGTACTGGGGTCTGTTACTCATGCAAGGAGAAAGAGCTTCAAGAGGATGAAGTCAAGCTAAGCTCTAAGACAAGCCTTATGTACAAGAAGACTGAATACAATATACATGACTTTGTGTATGCAAGGCCACAGTTTTTTGCTGAAGATAGGGAGGATGACCAAGGAACATTTAAGGCTGGAAGGAATGTGGGATTGAAGGCTTATGTTGTGTGCCAGATATTGGAAATATTGGCTCCTTCTGGATCAAAACAACCCACACCAGCATCCACAAAGGTCAAAGTTAGAAGATTTTATAGACCAGAAGATATTTCAGCAGCAAAGTCGTACTGTTCCGATATCAGAGAAGTGAGAACCTTATTCACAAATTCTTTATTTTTTTTTATGTTTAACGCAACTGGTTCATTATTTTGTCCTTACTCAGGGCAGTGAAGGCATTACTCTTAGCTTATGGTTTATCTTAATCCTTTTTATTGTCTTTAATTATACCTCATTTGATGGGGCTCTGGTGGTGTTAATTTTAGGTGTACTATAGCGAAGATACACTATATCTGCCTGTTGAGATATTAGAAGGCAAGTGTGAAGTTCGAAAGAAATTTGAACTTCCAGATCTGGAGCTTCCTATGATTGTAGATCATATTTTCTTTTGCGAATATTCTTATGATGCTGTCAATGGATCTGTTAAGCAGGTAGTTCCCTTATTTTAATTATGAGTTGAGTAGTAAGCTATTGAGCATTGCTATCTTCCCATCTTGACTGGAATAATGTTTTGCAAGCAGTTGCCTACTAATGTCAAGCTTTGGTCTCATAACGGAAAGGTGGCTAACACTTCCTCTAGAAGAAATAAGGGGAAGGGAAAATGTATAGAAGGGGAAGATCATTATATGTGGAATGATATACCTCAGGAAAGCCGCTTGGCTACTCTAGATATTTTCGCAGGTTGTGGTGGCCTATCAGAGGGATTACAACAGGCTGGTAAGCTTTTTCTTTATATATTTTTTATTTAATATTATTGTGACAAGTTAAAACCTTCATTTCCTTTTGCTATCTCATTGATTATGTCATTAACCTGTAGGCATTTCATTTACGAAGTGGGCAATTGAATATGAACAGCCAGCTGGAGAAGCATTCAGCCAAAATCATCCTGACGCGTCGATGTTCATTGATAACTGCAATGTGATCCTCAGGTCTCTCTCTCTCTCTCTCTCTCTCTCTCTCTCTCTCTCTCTCTCTCTCTCTAATACGTACAACCTCAGCTCTATTGGCAATACAATGGATTGCACTTGAAATCATACTGAATTTGATTGTATAGGGCCATCATGGAGAAGTGCGGGGATGTAGATGACTGCATTTCAACTGCTGAGGCTGATGAATTAGCAGCAGGGCTCAACAAAGAGAAGGTAAATAATCTGCCAGTGCCAGGTCAAGTTGATTTCATCAATGGAGGACCTCCTTGTCAGGTTCGTGTTATCTCCATTCTTCCAATTCATTTTTCTTTGTTTTCTATGAGAAGTGGTTGCATATACTTGGTTTTGTGTATTCAGGGGTTCTCAGGGATGAACAGATTCAACCACAGTACTTGGAGTAAGGTCCAATGTGAGATGATTTTAGCATTTTTATCTTTCGCTGAATATTTCCGCCCACGTTACTTCCTCCTAGAGAATGTGAGGAATTTTGTGTCCTTTAACAAAGGCCAAACATTCCGTTTAACTCTTGCGTCACTTCTGGAAATGGGTTACCAGGTTGAAATAATTGCCTTTCATTTCTATCTATTACTTCTTAAGTCCATCTTGAAACTTCAGTATGTAATACTTTTTCTTCTCTCCTCAGGTGAGATTTGGTATTTTGGAAGCTGGAGCTTATGGTGTCTCTCAATCAAGGAAAAGGGCATTCATTTGGGCTGCATCTCCAGAAGAGACACTCCCTGAGTGGCCAGAACCTATGCATGTATTTGCTGGTTCTGAGCTAAAAATTTCTCTCGGCAAAGGTGTTCACTATGCTGCAGTTCGTAGCACTGCTGGAGGTGCTGCTTTCCGACCAATTACTGTAAGGGACACCATTGGAGATCTTCCTCCTGTTGAAAATGGAGCATCAAAACCTACCATTGACGTAATATTCTTCTTCATTATGAAATTTCTTTTGCCTACACACCTTCATCAAATCCAGTTTCATATTCTTCATTGATTGACACTGTTCATTTCCCTGCTCTTGTTTTACAGTATGGAGGTGAGCCAGTGTCATGGTTCCAAAAGAAAATTCGAGGTAATATGTTGGCTTTGCATGATCACATCTCGAAAGAAATGAATGAGTTGAATCTTATTCGGTGTCAGCGCATACCAAAGCACCCAGGTTCTGACTGGCGCGACCTCCCTGATGAAAAGGTGCACAAATTTAATTTATTATGAACAATCTAGCTCCTTTTCTTTTTCTTAGCATGAGCAGAAATCTAGGCTATTCTATAACAGCAGTACTTGTGGATAAACACCCTGTAGTTCTATTGTTGCATATAGACTCCTGAGTGAAATTTTCTCTCTTTTACTCCCAGAGAAGAAAAATGAATTTTTTTTCGTTTTGACAAATAGATCTCCTGAGGGTAAAAGAATCAAAAAAAATTAACTCAGGGGGTGTATCTGCAACCATAGAACTACTAGGGGACTGACCACAATTGGGCGATACTATAGGGGTCTATCCACAATTAACCCTTTCGAACATAATACAATCTGTGAGATTTGAACTCGGATTGTGTTGATGCCATCTTAAACTTCCATCCCCCTTTCACCAAAACTTCTGACAACTTTCTCTAAATGCAGGTGAAATTATCATCTGGGCAAACGGTAGACTTGATACCTTGGTGTTTGCCAAACACAGCCAAGAGGCATAACCAATGGAAGGGACTGTTTGGTAGGTTGGATTGGGAAGGAAACTTTCCAACATCCATTACAGATCCACAACCAATGGGGAAGGTTGGCATGTGCTTTCACCCTGAGCAAGACCGGATTCTAACAGTACGTGAGTGTGCTCGATCTCAGGTAAAAAAAATCTGTTATTATTTGCAAATCTATCTTTTAAAGGAAAGAAAACGTTCATATTTGTCGTGAAAAGACGCTGCAGCGTTGGCAGTGAAGCGATTGTTTATTCCATCGTAGCTATCCAATAATGTTTAGATGATTATGGTTCATTTTTAATACAATTAACATTTCCAGATGATTGTATTAGTTTCTATTTTTTACTCAACACAAATCATAACCGTCCATTAGATGATAAACAATTATGTTTGCTGCTGTGGAGAGAATCCTGGGTCACTTTAATGATTTGACTAAGCCAGATTGGTGTTAGTCTAGTTATACTTGGCCTTGATAAATAAAACTGGTTTTGATTGGACTAGTTTTATGTTGAACTTAGTTTGGTTATTTTCAGAGAAAACTGATTCAGAACTAATATTTGCCTTTTTTTTAAACGTTTGAGTTAGATTCAATTTGGTTGCCTTTTTTTCCATGCAACTTTTGTGAACCAGACACAATCAAGTTTATTTCAGACCAGCACCCCCAGATTGGTTATGGTCTGATTATTGGCCAAAATTAGCCCAGATTAGAACTAGATTAGGACTAAGTAGTGAACTTTCCTAACGCAGATTATGAACTTTGATCTAAATCGATCTTGGTAAATTTGGTTTAGTATGGTTGCCAAACTGGCCCCCCCATTCACGAGGAATCTTCGGTTCATGTTTCTAAGCTTATGTATCTATTACTTGGATGCATCGTTTTCAAAGGTCACTGATTTTAGTTACTTGATTTGTGTAGGGTTTCCGAGATAGCTATCAATTTTCTGGCAACATTCAAAATCGGCACAGGCAAATTGGGAATGCAGTGCCGCCTCCGTTGGCCTATGCGTTAGGCAGAAAACTCAAGGAAGCTGTTGATGCAAAGCGTGCTTCATCTTGATTACTGACTTCACATTTTTGGTATTTTTAGTATAGCTACGCAAGCCTTCGGTATACAGGGAGCTTCTGATTTAACTTTTTAACAACAAAGCTATATATCTTCATTGTAAAACAAATTCAATGAAGGAAATCTTAAGAGGACCGGACGGTTCTAATTTTGTTAATTTGAAGTGAAAATGTTTCAAGATGGGAGGTTACAATGTGTTCGTCAAATGTCAGAGTTATCGGTGAAATATTTTTGTGGCTCTAACTGTTCATGAGCTGAATTCTGAGCAATCAGAATCGACGTTAATATCATCAGCTTAGCGCTGTTTTAGTCGCTGTGTATGATGATGGACCGTGTATCATATTCTTCTCCAGAGCATATGCAAGTGGCAATGACCCTGACCTACTACCGGATGAAGAAAAGGGGCTTTTTGCCTTTAAACCCAAAGTTTTGCCCTCAATTATTTTTATGAACTTGCTTGCTTCTGTTAAGTACTCTTACACCCAAGAAAAACTCTTTTTAATCTTTAAACCCAAAAACATCAAATACATTTCATACTTATTCATTATTTACAAAGAAAATTAAAAACCCCAAAATGCCCTTGTCGTACAATATGATGCATGCATACATAATATCTTTGAGAACATCTATTTGCCAGAAACGCGCCGGGTCCTCGTACAATGGCAAAACGGGATTGAAGTACTCCGAATGCTCGCTCAACATCTTTACGTACCGCTTCTTGGCATCGGGCAAATAATTTTCTTTTTTCTTCTTGAGGCAATGGGATTAGGGGTGTCAAACCGTATCCGTATCCGAGGAAATATCCGTAATCGTATCCGTTAGGATACGAATATGGTTTCTCAAATCTATAACCGATAGGATATGGTTACGGATATGGTTTTGTAGTGAAATATCTGTATCCGTATCCGAAAATATCCGAATACATATTGGTTATACTCGATCTTACGATAGTTTCGATTATTAGATTATGGATTTATGGTTAATTTTGATGATCAAGATGTCTAATCTTAGCTTTTCAATCATAATGAACATATTAACGAACTCTTTTTTTATCACATGACTATATTTTTCTGAATACTATCTAGTTTTCTCATATCCTTTTTGTATCCGTATGTATATCCGTTTATATATCCGCATCTATATCCGTAACCGTATCCGATTTTAGCGGATATGGATATGAATTTTTCTTACCGACGTATATCCGTATCCATATCCGTATCCGAGATAGGTAAGCGGATATGGATATGGTAAGTGTCATATCCGAGCCGTATCCGCTCCGTTAACACCCCTAAATGGGATAGTTTTAACGAATGTACCCCACTCTGGATAGATACCATCTGCTAGATAGCATCCCTTGTTGTATTGTGTGCCATTTATCGTAAACTCAACTATGGGAGCTTGCATGTCCTTGTAAGATATCAGTGAATAATGGGGATTGATTTAACACGTAGAGATCTGTCGCGCGCCTTTGCGGAAGCCTTGCACGAACTCACAACGAACCTGTGATCACGAGTAGAAGAAAGACAAACTCTTGCACAAATCCAACCAATAAAGCCAAATCAATCCAAACACAGAGATATACGTGGTTCGGCAATTTGCCTACGTCCACGGGGAGAGGATGGGGAGATTTCACTAAATCAAGGAGAGTACAAAGGGTTACAATCACACAAATTCTCTCAAACTAACCCTCAACCAAAGATCTCACCTTGCTCACAATATCTCCCTCTCACAATGCTCAAAAGATTCCTCAATCTCTGATATTAAACCCTCTCAAATCGTTTCCCTATTTATACCAAAACAAAACCCCAACCAGACTGCAAATAGGAAACCTACGTATGCAAAAAACCCTTCGTAAGTCGACTTAACAGAGCTCACAAGTCGACTTGACAGAGAGAAAATCAACAACTGGAGAACACTTCATAAGTCGACTTAACAGATTCTACCACACCCATGGCAGACACCACACCAGGGTGTGGTGGAGCCTGTTTTGAGTTATTCTTCACGTTTTTCACAATTCCTTCGCCGTTTTCACAATTCTCCACCTCGGCGAAGTGTTCCCAACACTGAGCCGACACCAACATGAGCACCAATGTGTCGTCTCTCTAAACTCGGCTGCACCAATGCGGTTGCCTACGTACCCCCTCTCCCAAGGGATCAAGCCGCCCGTAGTTCATCCAAATGGCCGCCAACGGCCTCAACAATTACGAATGTGCAACAAGTTTCGACAATGATCAAACTTGTTGCTCGGAACCACCTTAGTGAGCATATCTGCCGGATTATCCTTCGTGTGGACTTTCACAATTTCCACATCGCCATCTTCAAGAACATCCCGAACGAAGTGATAACGAACGTCAATGTGCTTCGTCCTCGCATGAAAAACCTGATTCTTCGCCAAATATATAGCACTCATGCTATCGCAATGAATAGTGACGGATCGCTGCGATATACCAAGTTCTTCCAAAAGTCCTCGAAGCCAAATAGCCTCCTTCACAGCCTCCGTAACCGCCATATACTCTGCCTCCGTCGTAGACAAAGCCACCGTAGACTGTAAGGTGCATCTCCAACACACCGGCGCACGGGTCAAAGTGAACACATACCCCGTAGTAGACCGGCGCTTATCCAAATCCCCGGCATAATCCGAATCAACATAGCCAATGCATAGCTGCCCACCTGTAGTGTCCCGCTCATAAACCAAACCAACATTGAGCGTACCTCTAATGTACCTCAAAATCCATCTCACGGCGTCCCAATGACCCACTCCTGGATCGTGCATGTATCTCGACACCATGCTCACTGCCTGTGACAAATCCGGCCTCGTACATACCATCGCGTACATCAAGCTCCCAACTGCGCTCGCATATGGAGTCTTCGTCATCAACTCACGGTCTTCAACTGACTTCGGTGAAAGGCCAGCTGAAAGCTTCAAATGGGCTCCCAACGGTACACAAACTGGCTTCGTATCCATGCTAACATGGAATCGCTGTAGAACCTTCTTCAAATAAGCCACCTGTGTCAAACAAATCCTGCCCTTCTTCTTATCTCTGCCGATCTCCATCCCTAAAATGCGCTTCGCCTCGCCCAAGTCCTTCATCTCAAACTCATTCGAAAGCTGAACTTTCAACTCATCTATAGCTGACCTGGAACTAGAAGCAACCAACATGTCATCGACATAAAGCAACAAATAAATGTACGCACCTCCTCTCAACTTGCGAAAATACACGCAAGGATCAAACTGGCTCCGAGTGTACGAATGACCAAGCATAAAACCATCAAATCGCCTATACCACTGTCGAGGAGACTGCTTCAAACCGTATAGCGATTTCTTTAGCCTGCAAACCAACTTATCTTTCCCTGCAGCTCGGAATCCCAATGGCTGAGTCATATATATTTCTTCATCAAGATCACCATGAAGAAATGCTGTCTTCACATCCAACTGATCTAACTCCAATCCATACTGTGCCACCAAAGCTAGCAAAATCCGAATCGACGAATGCTTCACCACCGGAGAGAAAACCTCATTGTAATCAATACCTTCCTCCTGTGCATAGCCCTTCGCAACCAACCTAGCCTTGAACCTCACTGGAGTGCCCTCAATGCCCTCCTTCTTCGTGTACACCCACTTGCACCCAATCGCCTTCCGCCCCTTTGGAAGCTCTACAAGCTCCCATGTATCGTTCTTGTGAAGAGACTCCATCTCCTCCTGCATAGCCACCTGCCACGAATCAGCCTCCGAACTCTGCTCGGCCTCTCTGAATGTAGTAGGCACCATCTCATCGATACTCTCCACCGGAAGTGCATATGCAACTGTGTCGGCATACCGTGCTGGCACCCGTATGTCTCTCCTCTGTCTCCGTGCCGCAATAGAATCCTGAACCTGAGCCGTCGGTCCCTGATCCTGCTCATGAGTACCCGTATCCTCCGCATCACCGTCGTGCTCGCCTGGCGTCACCTCAGTCGGCACTCTCATGGATACTGCACTATCTGGACTCTGTGGAGCTGCATCAATCTCCACCACCTGCGAAATCTCCTCTGTCGGGTTGCTCTCCACCTGATGAGAGCTGGGAAGCTTCAAGATAGAAGCCTCATCGAATGTGACGTCCCTACTCAGCACAATCTTCTTATCAACTGGATCCCAAAGCTTGTATCCCTTGACACCACGCTTGAATCCTACAAATATGGCCTTCCTAGCTCGAGGTTCCAACTTATCAGTTCTAACATGATAATATGCAGGGCAACCAAATACCTTAAGCTGGTCATAGTCATGTGCTGTCTCTCCCGACCACATCTCCATAGGGGTCTTCCCCTCAATCGCAGATGAAGGCAGCCTGTTAATGAGGTGGCTCGCATAAGAAAGTGCCTCAGCCCAAAAGATCTTCTCCAAACCACTATGCGCCAATAAACATCGAATCTTCTCCAGCAAAGACCGATTCAATCTCTCTGCCACCCCATTCTGCTGCGGTGTATGACTAACTGTGAAGTGCCTCTCTATGCCCTCGTCTCGACATAGCTGCAGAAAGGGGTCTGAGGTATACTCGCCGCCGTTGTCGGATCGCAACGTCTTGATCTTTCTCCCAGTCTGCAGTTCCAATCTCTTCTTCCACTCCACAAACAAATCTAGGACTTCACTCTTATGCTTCATGGTGTACACCCAACATCGCCTAGAATAGTCATCAACGAACGTGACGAACCAATGTCGACCACCAAGTGATGCCGTCTTAGTGGGACCCCAAACATCTGTGTGCACGTAGTCCAAGATGCCCCTCGTCCTATGAATGGCCGTCCCGAACTTCACCTTCGTCTTCTTGCCAAGTACACAGTGCTCACAGAATTCTACTTTACCACTCTTGGCTCCCTTCAAAAGCCCCTGCTTGCACAATGCCTGCAGTGACTTTTCACCTGTATGCCCTAGCCTGTAGTGCCAAAGTCTGCTCATGTCCGCCTCTGAAATCGCCGAAGCAACCTGGCCAATCTCGGTGCTCCCCTTCAGATAATATAAATTATGATTTCGGACTCCCTTCATCACCACCAAAGATCCCTTAGTAACCTTTGCTACAGCATCCTCAAAGGTCACCCTGAATCCCTTCGCCTCCAAAGCCCCCACTGAGATAAGATTCTTCTTAAGTTGAGGAACGAATCTCACCTCCTTCAGCTCACGGACTACTCCATCGTGCATCCGAA